TTTTTTTTTTTTTTTTTTTTTTTTTGTATTTTTTGTAGAGACGGGGTTTCGCCATGTTGGTTAGGCTGGTCTCAAACTCCCGACCTCAGGTGATCCACCCGCCTCCACCTCCCAAAGTGCTGGGACTGCAGGCGCGAAACACCGCGCCTTGCCTCTAGATCTGTTTTTTAACGTCAGATTTATTGAGATATAATTCACATTCCGTAAAATCCATCTTTCCTTTTTTTTTTTGAAACGTAGTCTCTCTCTGTCGCTAGGCTGGAGTGCAATGCTGCGAGCGATCTGGGCTCACTGCACCCTCCGCCTTCTGGGTATAAGTGATTCTCCTGCCTCAGCCTGCCAATTACAGCCTGAGATTACAGGCACGTGCCACCATGCTCAGCTAATTTTTGTATTTTTAGTAGAGTCGGGGTTTCACCACGTTGGCCAGGGTGGTCTCAAACTCCTGACCTCGTGATCCACCCGCCTCCGCCTCCCAAAGTGCTGGGATTACAGGCGTGAGCCACCGCGCCCGGCCCCATCTTTCTTCAGTGTGCCGTTCTGTGAATTCTGACAAAAGTATACACATCACCATAACAGAAACCAAAATAGCCCTGCCCCCACGAGTTTCTTCGTGCCTCTTTGTAGTAAATTCCCTCCTCCCACCCTCAGCTCCTGCGCAACCACAGATGTTTTCCCTCCCTACAGTTCTGCCTTTTCTAGAATGTCATGTAGATGGAACCATTACAGCATGTAGCTCTATTTTGGGTTGTATTTAGGAAAGCAACTTTGCTAAATTTATTTTTACCTACAGCAAATTTTGGTCAATTCATATGTATTTTCTAGGTATTGTCACTTCATCTTCCAGAAATTTTTTTATTTTTAATTTTTTTGAGACGGTCTGTCTCTGTCACCCAGACTCAAACTCCTGGCTCAAGCAATCCTCTCCCCTTAGCCTTCCAGGTACCTTGGATTACAGGCGTGCACCACCACACTTGGCTAATTTTTGTATCGTTCTGTAGAGATGAGATTTCGCCATGCTGCACAGGCTGGTCTCCAACTCTTGGGCTCAAGTGATCCACCCACCTCAGCCTCCCAAAGTGTTTGGATTACAGGAATGAGCCACCACGCCAGGCCTGGAAGTTTGTTTGTTTTTAATATGGAATGCTTCACGAATTTGCATGTCATCCTTGCGCAGCAACCATGCAAATGTTCTCTGTATCATTCCAATTGTAACATATGTGCTGCCAAAAGTATTTTTTAATTCTTTATTTTTACTTATATGTGTGTATCTTACTTCCTTTTGTGGTTATAAGAAGCATTTCTCTTTTTACTTTAAAAAAAAAAAAATTAGAAACAGGGTCTCACTCTGTGGCCCAGGCTTAGCATCACTGAGCAATAACCTCTGGATCCTTCTGGCCTCAAGCCATCCTCCTGCCTCAGCCTCCCCAGTAGCTGGGACTACAGGTGCGATCCACCACGCCCAGTTTGTAACAATCATTTCTATTCATTAGGACAGTAAGGAGACAGGGAGATCCAAGTGAAAGGATATCTAAATGGAAGAAGTGGACTCCTTTATTCATTTTTGAATCTCAACTGCCAATAATACAAAAATCTGGTTGATAACCAGCTAGTAAATTTTCATTTTCCCTGATGTCAATTAGTGGTTACAAATTAACAGAAAGGTAGTGCCTTTTATATTTTTAACAAATTAAACCCATGAAAACAATCCTTGTTGAAATTTTTTTTTTTTTTTAAGAGACAGGGTTTCACCACGTTGGTCAGGCTGGTCTGGAACTCCTGACCTCGTAATCCGCCCACCTTGGCCTCCCAAAGTGCTGGGATTACAGGCATGAGCCACCACACCCGGCCTTGTTGAAATATTTTTACAGGTTGGAATATTTCCAACTACTATGTGTATATAAAATTTAGTGTTTTTGTAAGTATCACTTAGTTTTTGGGCAATCATAGAATGGTGAAAATGCTCCTAAATATTAGTTTTCAAAATATTATCTTCATAAAATGAGTTCCTTTAGAAAGGCAGTTACCTTCTAATAGTTAAAATGGTATCATCTTAAAAGGGCAGATTAGTGAGAGGTCAAGGAAAGGGCTCTATCATTTTTTTCTTGTGCTTGTTTTGTTATCTTCAATTTATGGTTTACTTACCAGACTCATTTGACAATCCTTTTTTTTTTTTTTTTTTTTTGAGACAGAGTTTCGCTCTTGTTGCCCAGGCTGGAGTGCAATGGCATGATCTCAGTTCACTGCAAGCTCTGCCTCCTGGGTTCAAGCAATTATCCTGCCTCAGCCTCCTGAGTACTAGGATTACAGACATGCACCACAATGCCCGCCTAATTGTTTTTGTATTTTTTGTAGAGATGGCGTTTCACCATGTTGGCCAGGCTGGTCTTGAACTCCTGACCTCAGGTGATCCGCCCGCCTCAGCCTCCCAAAGTGCTGGGATTACAGGCATGAGCCACCATGCTGACAATCCTTAAATCTACCTAACCACACACAGATAAGCTGCAATAAAATAAACCACTGTCAAAATTGAGTTATTCTCACTTTTTCTTCATGGTGTCTGGTGTGCCAGCTAATGTTAGACCAGACTGTGACCATCAATCATTCTGATTGGTCAGTGGCTCACCACAAGTTTTGTGGGTTTTTTTGTTTTACTATCACCCCTGCTGAACGACAGGAATGCTATATATCTGTATACTAGGTAGAACAAATTAGGACTCTCATATCAAGCCGTATTTTAAATATTAGCAAAAGCTAATTTTTTTTTGTAAGATAAAAAATTAACATACATAGAAATTTTCTTCCCTATCCTTCAATGGAGACCTGTGCACACTGTCACACATTCTATCTTGGAAGCTACTGGCGTGACAATTCCAGGATGGTCCAGAAAGGCAGATTTTGGTTCACTACACAGAACCATCTTTCAAGAAGTAGAGATTTCCAAAAGGATCAGCACCCCTAAGTAAAGGATTCCCCAAATATTGGAAGCAGAAGCCAGATGAATGGCTGGATGACGACTCAGCTGAGATGCAGAAGCAGGGGTAAATGGATGGGATTCAGTTACTTCCAAGATCCTTTTCTAAGAGTTCTTCAGTATTATGTTAAAGACTAGAAATGACAGGTGGCACCCGTGTTTCTATGCATAAGGAAACTAACAGGTAACAGACAACTAGACTAGTAGCCAAATAGACGTACCATCAAGTTGAGTGACCTTGGGTAAATCATTTCATCTTCCTGGCTGTGTTATTTCATCTTCCTGGCTTTGTTTTTTCATCTGTAAAAGATGGGGCCAGAATTAAATAACTTTTAAGGCCCCATACAGCTCTAATATTCTGGGGTTATATGACTCTGCTTCATCAAATATTATGTTGGGTTCTAAAACATACCCTTTAAAAAAATTCTTTATTTTTTAGTTTCTCTGAAATAGAAAGTATATTTGAAATGCCTTTTTGGTATATATTATAGTGATAAAAGATTTTATTATTTCTTATTCGTGTAATGTGTTTTGTAACTATTACATCAACTTTGTAATTTTGGAGTTACATGGGCAATTATTTAAAGTATTTCTCTTTTCAGTTTTCTCAGATTTTATTCAGATTTTTGCATCTATATTCATAAAAAATCAACTATATTATCATATCACCTTTCTCGCATCATTTTATTTTTTAAAATGAAAATTACTTCATTAAATGAGTAGTGTCTTATGATCATTTTCTATATTTTGGGAGTATATGTTCTTTGACAGTTTAGAAAAGTCTCATGAAAGCTTTCATGAGCAAATGCTATTTTTACTGGTTATTCTTAATTTGTGGGTTATTTCTCATAACCAAGCTGGAATATTCTCCTTTAAGTGTCAGTTTTGCAATTTTATATCTTTAGAAGGAGCTGGGCATATATAAATCGAACTTTTAGCTGCAAACTGAGAACTCTTTTTCAAATCTAATTGATTTTAAATATTGCCTATTCAACTACAAATTTACCAATTTGTAGTTTTATGGCGACACTTTACCAATTTAATCTATAAGAACTACTTAATTTTTTTTTCTAATTTGTGTCATTCATGCTTAGTTTTATTATTTCCATTTTGATTTCTTTCTAAATTCTACCTATATATCCCTTTAAAAAAACAAAAATATTTCCACCCTATCACTAATACAGATATTTAAAGCATGATTATTTTCTTATAGTACTGCTTTGGTATTATCACATTCATTTTCTTGCACGGCATTTGAACATTGGGTATTTTAAAAATATTATCTTCCAGCACATCCTCTGCAATGTAGATGTTACTTACTGAAGTATTTTTTCCATGTTGTTGATCACTGTTTAATTCTATGTATGTTGTTTATTTCTATTAAAAACAAACCATCAGATTATGTATACGTTTCCACCTGTTCTCACATTTCTGGCTACTTTTCTTTCTTGTATTTTGTTATGATGTTCTCTAAAGTTGATTAAATTCAGTACAAATATGTTTTCATTATTTAATGTAAATTTTATCTTATATTTACTATTAAAAGTTTGTGAAAGGTATTAATATTTTATCACATACAATGTAGGCAATCACTTCTTCTTTAATATTTGTTCCAGCATGAAGAAAACTTAGAGCATCCCTTCATTTTAATTTTTTTCCAACTTAAGTACTTCTTTGCTTCTTGCAATGACTGGACTTAGCTTTGTTTACTAAATGAGTGGTCTTTCTTTTCAAAGGTAAATTGAGTCAATCTGTGTTTAACAATACTGTAATTATTAATACATGTTCATAGAATTAATACATAAATTAATGCCTTTTCAGATCCTTCATATCTAGCTTTTTAACCTTAAGTTAATATCCATATGTATGAGAACTAAATGTAATTTGATATGCTTAGTCGACTTGATGATTGGACAATAACAACATGAACTACATTGGATTCACTGTTACTTCCTCTTTGTTTTTGCAGTGAAAACAGCATTTTCTTATGTCAGATTTCTCTCAATCCCTCAGTAAATGAAGACCTAACTAGAACAATATACAGTCCCATTTTAAATTCAAACAAAGATATTCAAGTTTGACAACAGATTCATGGTAATGTCATTTTAAAAGATAGATCCAATGAACACAGATAAACATCAAAGTCTTCACCACGGCACGACCCTATGCTGCAATCACTCATAATAATTCAACTACCTTCATATTTGGCAGTAACGTCATACAAGTGAATGTGCTGATGATTAGAAAAATTACAAAATGAAAGCCAAGGTCACTTAATCAAGAATTACAGCAACAAAGAAATCCTAGGAATGCAGGTCAAGGCAAGCGGCGGCAGCTGGCCTGACAGTGATACCATTTGCCTAATGTTCATTTAGGAATTTGCTATCACAAATAAAACCTCTGAGTTACTAGAACAGAAAAGGAAACAATCAGGTATTACTTATCACCATTATATGACCATGAAATTAAGATATTTCCTTAATGAATAAGAGAAAAAAAATCATTCTTGTGTTTATAATAGAAGCTCTATTTCTGACTTTAAAACATTACTCAATATTTCCTTAAGTACTGCAATGTAGACAATACAGCCTTTTTTTTTTTTTTTAGTTGAGACGGGATTTCGCCATAATGGTCAGGCTGATCTTGAACTCCTGACCTTGTGATCTGTTCGCCTCGGCCTCCCAAAGTGCTGGGATTAGAGGCGTGAGCCACCGTGCCTGGCCTGACAATATAGCTTTTGACATATTAAAAGTTCTATGGGAAAACTCTTTTAATTTTGCTTTAATATCAAACTAAACAAAGCAGCTGAAAAAATTCAATAAGAGCATGGGTTAGCCCAATTCAAGAAGTGCTTCCAAAATTCAACCACCTCGCTTCTTTTTAGGAGAAACTGTACATCAACACAAAACTTTTCTAACTAAACTTTGGAGAAGAAAATAGAAAGCCAAACCCAGAGCACAAGGTTGTGAAGGTATTTACTCCTCGGCATTAGGCAAAGGAGTGCTACAGCACTCTTACATGTATTCTATTTCAACAGATGATTCAACTGGTCCTGTAGATCTGATGACTGTTCAACACTAGAAATTAGAATAGAGACAGGGTTTCATTGGAAAGAGCAATAAAGACATTTTTGTAAAAACTATTTTTAAAAAAGTTTTTTTCATTACAGACAGGGTCTCGCTATGCTGCATAAGGCAATCTTGAACTCGGGGCTCAAGCGATCCTTCAGCCTCAGCCTTCCAAAGTCCTAGGATTACAGGTATGAGCCAGCCACTACACCTGTCCTATACAAGCTATCTGTACTTTAATGCATAAATATTGCTGCATGTAAATCCAAATTTATATTGGTCCAGTTGGGTCCCAGAGTGTCTAAAGTCTGAAGGAAGGTTTGCAGGTTTGCAAAACCCATTAGTAATGTAAACAATATTGCAAGGGACAAATTTAATCCATTTTGAAAAACAAGGCTGTTTAATGGCTTTTGCACATTTACTCTGCTTAATGAATATTACCAATGTAAAAGGTTTTCTATTCCTTAAGGTTGGTCTCTATACCCTGTAACTTTTAGAAAGCTTTACTATTAATAGCAGTGAGTTGAGTTACTGCATGCCTTTGAAATATGCTGTATTCTTTAAATCCCAAGTGAATATCCCAGAGAGTATTTCAATTTGAGGGCATATGTCAACCACCAGAGTTTTGTATTGATCCTGGACCCAGCAGTCTAATTTCCCCCAGCCTGCTTCAGTTGGTTCCTTACTCCTCTACCTTTGGGGTTACTTACTTCTTCTGAATAGCTTCTTGCCTAAATCAGAAAAGGAAAGAGGAAAATAGACATAAGAAAATCTAGTGAACTAGTAGAAGTTTCACTTATGACTAGATACATGCAGTACAGGCAGAAGAAATTTCAGCTTATGTCACACTCTGTATTTCTGTCCATCCTATCCTAAGATTGTGCTATTGAACAAGGATCCCTATCTAAGTGCAGGGCTGCTGAAAAGACGGACTCTAAAAGTAAACAGATAGTAACACTCTCCCAGAGTGAGAAATGTGGTCCAACAAACTAAATGCATGGCTTAAAATTAGTCTGCATATATGGAATGAAATGGTCACATTCCTAATATGTAGATACCCAAAGAATGACTATGACAAACATTAGCTATTTAAATATCAAAGAGTGAAATTCCTCTTTCTCTCTCTTTCTTTCAAGTCAGAGTCTTGCTCTGTCGGCCAGGCTGGAGGGCAGTGGTGACCAATCTCGGCTTACTGCAACTTCCGTCTCCTGGATTCAAGCAATTCTCCTGCCTCAGCCCCCCCAGTAGCTGAGATTATAGGTGTGTCCCACCATGCCTGGCTAATTTTTGTATTTTTAATAGAGACAGGGTTTCACCATGTTGGCCAGGATGGTCTCAAACTCCTGATCTCAGGTGATCCAGCCGCCTTGACCTCCCAAAGTGCTGGAATTACAGGCATAAGCCACCATGCTCAGCCTAATTTTTTTTTTTTTTTTTTGGAGTTTCACTCCACTCACTGCAACCTCCACCTCCTGAGTTCAAGCCTCAGCCTCCTGAGTAGCAGGGATTACAGGTGCCCGTCACCACACCCAGTTAATTTTTTGTATTTTTAGTAGACATGGGGTTTTGCCATGTTGGCTAGGCTGGTCTTGAACTCCTAACCTCAGGTGATCTGCCCTCCTCGACCTCCCAAAGTGCTGGGATTACAGGTGTTAGCCACCGTGCCGAACCCTAACCATATATTTCTAATAGGTACATAAATATAATATCAAGTACATAAAATGTAAAACAACATGAAATAAGATGAAAAGCAAATTCTAATGGAGAGGAGGTCTCTTATATTTCAAAATTCCCTGCATGATTTATATGTAGCAAGTGCCACAGCTACCTACATACTATGTAAGATGCAGGTACGTTACACTTGATTTCCTAGAAGAGGAGGTGACTTCCCAGGAGACACCTTGGGTACTGTCATCAAATACTGACTAACTGCCTCATTGGTACCAAGTATAGTGCTAGCATGGTCCTGGCATGGGCCCTGCCTTTAGGGAGTTTACAGTCTCTCTGAGGAGGCCTCAATTTAACATGAGGAGGTTCATAAAAGGTGGACTCTGCTCCTGATTCTTATCCCTTATCCCCACTTCTTCTGTAGTCTCAGGCATCTTTGCCATGGAGAAAAGTCATCCTTGGCCACCCCCACCTTTACTCCCACTCCGGCCTCTATAGGAAAGCGCTAAAGCACAAAGGCCATGAAAGCAGACTGGGGATAACGATTTTGCAGCGAATAGTTGCTGGAGGGGGCATACTCACTGGTATTGAAGATGTGTTGTTATGATTGCCATCTTCCTTAAACTCTGCATAAAAAGAGAGAGAGAAATAGAACATTCCACTTCCCTGCGGCCCTACAAACTATACACATAAAACCCAAATAATTTTTTTAAAAAAGTTGTTTCTTACATCTTCTGAGTGCAAGATGGCATCTTCCTGTAGTACCATGTTTCGAGCTGCCTGACCTAGCAGCTGGAAGACAAAAATAAAATGGTAATAATCAAAATTCCCAAACTTCCTGCAATCTTCTCTCTGCAGCTGTTACACCACAACCCTCTCTCCTCTCCCACTCTTCCACCCTATACAACCACAAACACTCAAAATGTAATGGAGAATAATTTTCTATTTGTTCATGTTGAAAATTCGTTTCACTGGCACTATGGCAGTTCTGACATGGACTCAACATCTGTTCCAAAGGCCTGAGAAATCAAGTGTATCCTAACTGCTGAGCTGTTGGCACAGTGTATTCATGAAGTGCTAAGAGAAGTCTTCGAAAAACTTTCGCTCTACAAGTCCAGTGAGAGAACATGACTCCTGACCTTTAAAGGCAGATTTGAGATTTGGGGTGGTTTAAGAATGATAAAGGAGCAGGAGTTAGAAGGCAGCTGAAAAGGACAGAGGAATATAGCTGTTTAGAAACGGAATAAGGGAAGGCCAGGTGCAGTGGTTCACGCCTGTAATCCCAGCACTTTGGGAAGATGAGGTGGGCAGATCACTTGAGGTCAGGAGTTTGAGACCAGCCTGGGCAACGTGGTGAAACTCCAGCTCTATCAAAAAATATAAGTTAGCCAGGCATGGTGGCGCATGCTTGTAATCCCAGCTACTTGGGAGGCTGAGGTGGGAGAATTGCTTGAACCTGGGAGGTGAATGTTGCAGTGAGCCAAGATCACACCACTGCACTGCAGCTTGGGCGAGAGAGCAAGACCCTGTCTCAAAAAAAAAGAAAGAAAAATAATAAGAGAAACAGTCGGGGGTGCAGGGGAAGCCATGAAAAGAAGCTCAGGGCTTAAAATGGGGAACTACCCCATAAAAGATGCCCAGACAGGGCTGGGAAAAAGAAAAGAAAGGAGATGTCCAGGTGTGGTGGCACGCGCCTGTATTCCCAGCTACTTGGGAGGCTAAGGCAGGAGAATCACTTGAACCTGGGAGGCAGAGGTTGTAGTGAGCTGATATCGTACCATTGCACTCGAGCCTGGCAACAAAGTGACGCTGTGTCTCAAAAAAATAAAAGAAAGAAAAAGAAAAGAAAGGAGAAAAGTGCAGGCAGAATTTAATGAGGTCACTGAGTTTAATGGGTCCTGAGACCAAGAGCAAAAAGCAGAGCTCAGATTCAGCTGAGCAGCCTACAGTCAAGACAGAGCTGACTGCATTAGCACTGAGAGGCAAGCAGAAACCAGCAGAAATTTCTGGCTAATACTGCACCCTGCTCCTGGCATACCTAAATGCCACCAAGTAAAATGAGCTACTGTTATGTGTCTCCTACCAGTCCTTCCCTGTTCTCTTGGGTCAGGGAGACTCTGGTGAAAAGGGTGGTGTGACTTCAGAGTAACTAGGATTGCCAGATTCCTTCCCCAACCCAGGGCCACTTTATTTATTTTTAAGTTTTAAAGTTAGTAAACCTTTCTGGACTTCTAAAGTCAAAACAATAAAATAGGACTTTCCATCTCTATCCCTTTCTTTCCCTGTTCTCTCCCCCACATGCATAGCGATTTTTTTATTTTCATTTTTTTGAGACAGGGTCTCACTCTGTCATCCAGGCTGGAGTGCGGTGAAGTGATCTTGGCTCACTACAACCTCCACATCTTGGATTCAAGCGATTCTCCTGCCTCAGCCTCCAGAGTAGTTGGGATTATAGGTATACACCACCACGCCCAGCTAATTTTTGTATTTTCAGTAGAGACGAGGTTTCACAGTGTTGTCCAGGCTGGTCTCAAACTCCCGACCTCAGGTGATCCACCTGCCTCAGCCTCCCAAAGTGCTGGGATTATAGGCGTGAGCCACCATGCAGGGCCCCATACATAACTATTTTTATTAGTGTTGGGGTTTTCTTTCCAATGTTCCTTTTTATTTTTTTTTTATTTTTTTATTTTTTTATTTTATTTTTTTTTTTGAGACGGAGTTTTGCTCTTGTTACCCAGGCTGGAGTGCAATGGCGCGATCTCGGCTCACCGCAGCCTCCGCCTCCTGGGTTCAGGTAATTCTCCTGCCTCAACCTCCTGAGTAGCTGAGATTACAGGCACGCGCCACCATGCCCAGCTAATGTTTTGTTTTTTTTTTTTTTTT